CCCAAGTCTCAATCAAAATCCAGCATTGGGTAAAGTCAGACTCTTCGTTCTGGGCACACTCTAGATGTCCTCCCACTGTGTCCAGAGGTCCAGGTGCCCTGCAGATGCAGCCAGCACTACTGACGGTGCACAGGGAGCCCTGCAGAACCCACTGGGTTGCATGGTAATATGAGCAGACTTCAAAAAGTTGATGAGAAAACAGAATTAAAGTACAGGTTTATCTTGATGCAAAAAAGAAAAAAAAAAAAAAGGAAATCCATCCATAGATTTGCCATCATACACAAGTTCAATGAAGTTTTTGTTTTTTGGGGGTTTTTTTGGAGAGGTTTTCACTATAGGGTACGTGCGCTCACCAGACAGACAGAGACATAGAAACAGAAAGTGAGAAATCACCCCCAGGGGGGATGGTCACGCCGCAATCCCTTCTCCTCCATTCTCCTCTCAGGATCTTGGGCACACACGCACATACGCCCAGCGTGAGTTTTAAGCCACCAGGTCCGGGACACGAACTGCGGTCAACTACTTGGGAGTCCAGCAACATAGCCATTAAGCTAACTGCTGGTTCCCACAAGTTCAATGAAGTTTTTGAAGACTCCTTCTAGAACAATCCTTGACCCCCTATATTCGGTTGTCTGAAAAGTCATGATGCAGTTTTACATAGAAAAGTATGTCAAGACTTTTCCAACGATCCAATAGGAAGTTGACGCTAAAGCTCAAGCTGAACACTGCTTTCTCACATCTCAGGCTGAGAGCAGCCATAACCAGACAAAAGTGAGGGTTCCCTGTGGCACGTGGGGAAGGGAATACCCCCGATCTACTAATGGAGGTGGGCATGGAGCACAGACCAGGGCACCAAGACATGTGAAGGCAATGGAGCCTTGTCAGAGTTAAGTCAGTTAGAAATAGTCTTCAGGGGTCATAATACTCCCCATCGAGAAAGAATTAGTTCATTCTGGGAACTGAACAGATTCCTTTTGAGCCTCAATTTTCAACTGAGACTCTTTGGGAAAGCCAATGGGCAAGCAGAAACAAAGTCGTAAATGCATTCATCAGGGAATAAATTCATCAGCTTGCAGGGAATCTAGCTAAGGGTGTAAACCAATAAATGTTCGCTGCAGTGTTATTTTTTTTAGAGGTTTTTGCCTTAGAGCATGTGCACTCACCAGCAAGAGATAGAGAGACAGAGACAGTAAGAGTGAAAGTGAGAATCACCCCAAGAGAAGATGGCCACTGTGCAATCCCTTCTCCTGGGATCTTGGGCACACGTGCACACACACACCCAGGACTTGAAATCATGGCCCTCCATGTGTGAGTCCAGTGATGTAACCATCTGCTGGTCCCATGCAGTGTTATTTATAATGCAAAGAAGAAAATAATTTAGTTACCTAATAGCAAAAGAATAATCAAATAAATTTAGCTACGTTAATTCACTGGAGTACTGAACTGGAGTCATCAAAAATAAATAAAAGACAAATATAGGGTCAGCACTGTAGCACAGAAGCCGGGCACTGTGCAGTAGCCAGTTCCCACATCATTGATCAGGGTTTGAGTTCCAGTTCCCCTGGGCTTCATGCTAGGTATGCTCATGCATGTGCCCAGGATCCTGACTGGATGGAGAATTGGAGGAAAAAAGATTACAGGATGGCCAAGCTTTCTCTCTCCCTAATGCCCTCTGGCATTAAGAAAGAGAGAAAAAAAAAATGGGGCCAGCAGGTTACATAGTGCTTAAGGCACTGGACTTCCATGTGGCTGACTGCTATTTCAGTCCCAGACCCAGTGGCTTGAAACTCACACTGGGTGTATGTGTGTGCATGCCCCAAATCCCAAGAGGAGAATAGAGGAGAAAGGACTACAGCATGGCCGTCTCCTCTGCAGGATGATTTCTCTCTGTCTCTCTAGCAAGCACATGTGCTCTATAGCAAAAATTTAAAAAAAAAAAAAAAAAAGAGGGGGAGAGAGAAAATGTCAAATACGGAGACAGATATCAATGTGGTATAATTTCTATAATGGGATGTTGAATAGACAACGCCCATGACCAATGGTACCTGACTCTACACTATGATCATACCATGTACAACTGTGTATGCAAGAATGTAGGACCAGCGAGTTCAGTAAACAAAAAGGAATGTGCTGAAATAGTTACATCAAGGTCATGGAGTAATTTTCTTTTTTTCCAAAAAATTCTTATGTTGTATAGTTGGGATGGGAGGATCTCTTGGAAAAACAGAATTCAGGGGCCAGCAGGTAGTGTAGTGGTTAAGGTGTTAGACTCCCACATGGCCAACCACAGTTTGAGTCATGGGCCAGGTATGTGTGTATGCATGCCCCAAATCACAGGGAGAATGGAGGAGAAGGGGTTGAGGAGTGGCCATCCCCCAGGGAGGGTGATTCCTCACTTTCTCTCTCACTGTCTCTCTCTGGTGAATGCACTTGTCTTATGGCAAAAAACCTTTTTTTAGAAAAGAAAGAGAAAGAAAAAGTTATCTTCTTTTCATGGAGTTTACAAAAACGAGAGGCCATGTTAGCATGTGACCAAGCCCTTTCCAGGACCCTACACAATTACAGAGCCTGCAGTGGAGCCTTATCCTCTTGGTGAACCCACTGCCGGGCTACCTGCGGGCTGCAGGCCATGACGGAAACAGTGATACCTATGCTTGAGAAAAATAACCTGCAGTGTGCCTCACCATCAGTTCTCATCATCCTAAACCAAAGTGCTCTTGGCTTTGGAGAGTGGGGACCCAGAATGGGCAGCTAAAACTCTCACTATTGGCTTCTGGGCATGACTCTCCCTCAGCGCCCAGCCCAAGTGGAAGAAGGGCCATGGCCGGCCTGCTTCCTGCCTGCCCAGAGGCCGGGACAAAGCCTCCACCCCCGCAGTGTGTCCTGCAATGAAATACGCCCATTTGGCTGTGTCCAGGAACTGTGTCCTGGGCCGTGCCAGACAAGTGCTCTGGACAGCCAATGACACTGTAGGTAGCCACTGTCAGCCGGCAGCTGTGATCGGCCTAAGCAACAAGGTCTTTGGTTTCATCTAACTCTGGCCCTGTAATTTCCTCCTTGTTCCTTCTTCCTTTCCCTGAGCTGTGAGAGGTACGACTTGGACTGCACAGAATTCCATTCCACGATGAAGCACTAAGAAAAGGCACAACGCCTCTGGCTGTGAGACTGCTTAGCTGTCATAGCCAACAAGCCCCTCTGACGATGTGCTGAAGCCCAGCTTTCACCCTGAGCCTCAGTGTCCTCAGATGCGCAATGGGGTGGGTGGATGACAGCCCCCCGAGGCTGTGGATGAGAAATAGCCCATAAAACTTTCTGTAAAGCTCTGTACACCTATAAAGTGCTATTAAGGTAATGACTATAGATTATGATCAAATTGAAGGATGAACATATGCCCAAGTGGGCCCTCCCAAGACCCACTCCTTGGCCCAGAGGGCCTGGGAAAACATGGACTGCCCTCAACTTAAACAAGTTACAACTGCTTCCCCATGGAGAGAAGCCAGACTGGGGTGACCTGCACAGAGACTGACTAATCACCGTTTTTTTCCAGGTACTTTTTGGCTGGAATTTCAATCCCAAACCTCCCAAGATGTTACATCCTTTAATTACCACTTGAGGTGGGGGGGTGGCCTTCCTTGTCCACAATGTTCTGTCACCTTGTGAGAGCCATTACTACAGCATGTCCACAAATACATGAAAAAAGGGTACACAGGATTTTTCAAGGTATTTCTTTCTTTTGTTTTGGAGAGAGATTTTTACTATAGGGTGCATGCGCTTGCCAGAGAGACAGAGACAGAGAGACAGAAAGCAAGAATTCACTGACCTACCCACTCCCACCCCCGGGAGATGGCCACACTGCAATCCCTTCTTCTCCAATCTCCTCTGGGAGATTGGGCACACAAGCATATGCACCTGGTGTGAGTCTTAAAGCTACTGGGTCCAGGATTCAAACTGCGGTTGACTACGTGGGAGTCTAGCAATGTAACCATTAAGACATCACTGGTCCCAAAGGTATTTCAAAAAGAAGAAAACGATGTACTAGCCTTAAGTAAGCCAATAACTAGGCAAAACTTACTTTCCGTCTTCCAATAACTTGAAAATCACCTCATTCCACTTTACGAAGTAAAATTATCTTGAGAAAATGGTTCTTTTTCTTTTTTCTTTTTATTTTTGGAGAGGTTTTTGCTATAGGGCTTGTGCGCTCGCCAGACAGACAGAGAGAGACAAAGAGACAGAAAGCGATAAATCACCCCCCAGGGGGGATGGCCATGCCGCAATCCCTTCTCTCCCATTCTCCTCTCGGGATCTTGGGCACGCACGCACACGCACAGTGTGAGCTTTAAGCCACCGAGTCCGGGACGCAAACCGCAGTTGACTACATGGGAGTCCAGCGACATAGCCATTACGCTAACTGCTGGTCCCGAGAAAATGGTTCTTCAGGGAGGCTCTGAACTGGCATTTTCTTTCAATGTCAATGCTAAAAAGCACTGTTTCCAATGTGTAGAATTGGGATCTATACCTTTACCATGACTCGTATCATAAAATAAGCTGCCCCTACAAGATAACAACTTTTTAAAATAAAAAGAAATGAAGACATTTTCGATTTTGACCAATGCTACAAGAACCACTGAACATAGTACCTGTGCCTCTCTTGAAAACTGTTTTTTTTTTTTTTTTGCAAAACTATATTTTAAATGATAGAGTGGTCATGGTACAAAAATGTTTATTTAAATTAAATATTTGCAACAAATCAATATCTACAACTGTTCCAAAGTATGTGTAGTCCTTACAAAAAAAATGGAGTAGTTTAGCTTAATGTCTGTGATACTGTTTTACAAAATTATTAATACACATTCTGGACTGTGTACCAGTCAATCATATTGTCAACAATTTACTATTTATTACCAAATGGCACATACAGTAAAAGAATAAAGAGTAATCATATCTTATAAGTGATTTTACAATAAGACTTCTTGGAAAGAAAAACAAAGGATCTGTCAACAATACAAAATAGAAGGCGAAAACAATAGGAAGATATATAAAACACATTTCATAAAGGCAATAATAATATGCTGAAATCGAAAGACAAATAACTGTCTTTCAGCTCTCTGTCAGGTGTGTTCCTTCAAAGGAGCGTTGGGGGGAGGATGGAAATGTTTTGGGGGTGGAGCCAGGACTCAGAAACATGTCTGGGATCACAGTGAGTTTCTGATTTGGGGGAAGTCGGTGTAAGGAAGGTTTTGCCCGCAAGTTGCTCTAAAATGATGGCTGAGAACGTCGCTGAAGGACCAGCTGGCTGGTGAGGAAAACAAATGCCCATCGTAGTTGGGGAATCTAGCTTGAACTTTTATATTAGAGGCTCTTTGAATTAGGGACCAATTTGGGGGGAGAGAGAGAGCAAGGAAGAAGAGGAAAAGAAATTCCAGGAAAAGGAGCTGGAGACGGGAAGGAAGGAATCTTTTGCGACTACAGAGGGGAAAGTGTGGTGCTGAAATGGTGCTGGAAAGGTCAACAGCCAGACTGCAAGAAAGAGACGCTGCTTGGCTGTAGCACCCTGTAGGTAGACCCTTCAGGTAGCTGGCTCTTCGGGATGTCAGGAGCAGGGAGTTCATGAGAAGTCGCCATCGTTAGTAAGAAAATCTGATTCGGGTGGCACAGATATGCATTTGAGGGTGTACGTCAATGGGAAGGGGTGTCTCTTCCTACACTCACTGTGTATTTCAGACTGTGTAGACTCTCTTGAAGTGCATGTGTAATTAAAATGAAACTTAGCTTAAAAATATATTTTTAAAAAGTTGAAGTTCAATCTCATTTTTAGTGATGCAGTCAACCATTCTGGTTAATTTCCCAAATCAGAGTGAATGTTTTTCAATTGGAAAAGGACAGTCCTTCCGGAATTCGATGGTGATTTGGAAGGGAGGGTAGAGAGAGTGCAAAGGGTATCGTGTCCTTGGGTCCTGCGCATGGAGCTACCACGTTCATGGGTTCATTAATGAGTCCAATTTCTCATTCTCACTTAGCTAACCTTGAGAGAATCCCCAACCAGAAAGCCGTGGAGCAGAAGGAACCTTGGCAATCAAGTCTGTCCCTCTGTTCGCAGACGGAGGAATGGGCTGGAAGGCAAGGAGAGGAGTGTTGGGGTTTCATCAACGTCTGGAGCAGAACTGGGACTGGATCCCAGGCCCCCGGGTCCCGGCCCAGGGCTCTTCCTATGTGGAGGACTCGAAGACTAGGTCGGCTGTACTCCATGTGGTTGGGCCAGAGCAGGAGAGGTCTGAACACTGCTGGCTTTACATTTTCTTTCAAGGATGGAGACAAGGAGAGGTCAGCGAAGATTCTCCTGGGTAGGAGACAGCACCTCTCAGCGACTGGATGGCCTTATTCCCAGGATGGAGCAGGTGGGAATTCGCTTGAAGGAATACAGTCAGAATGCAGGTACAGGGAGTGGCCCGGTGGCAGGGGGCCAGGGGCCCTTGATCACTAGCACCAGGTACCAGCTTTAGGATGAAGGCGTGGGGCCACTCGGAACTCCCTGCCCATGACTGCGTCATCTCTCTGCCCTGCTCAGTGCATGGGAAGGACAGGGCAGCGCGGCTGGGCTGACCTAGAGCCTCCGGCTCTAGGACACACTGTAGCTGTTGTAGTACGTGGCTGTGGCATCAGCCAGGACGGAGATGAGGCTGGTCTCTGTGGGGCCACTTGGTGTCACCTGAGAGACTGGAGCGTGCCCACTGTGAGACATGGCCCCTGTGGTAGAGTCCGGGTGGCCAGGAGTGTTCAAATACTGGTCAAACTCATTGCGATCCATGTCCCCCAGGAGTTCCACCTGGCTCAGCTGATCCAGGGCGTCGAAACCAGGGTGCTCGGGAGGTGGGGAGAGCTGGCCCAGGTGGGCATGGAGATTGGAATGGAGTGGGTGGTAGGTGGCAGGAGAGTAATAGGCAGGAGATGGGGGACAGACAGGTACAGTGGACATCATAGAGACCCCAGGGGTCTGGCCGAGGGTCAGGGAGCCCAGGGGGTGGCTGCAGTGGAGGGAATTGGGGGCATACTCGGGTGAGTACGGGGGCCCTGGCAGGTGGGAGATGCGGCGGGGGTGCCCGTGCTCCTCCTGGCAGGGAGAGGAAAAGAAGGTCTGCTCCGGCTCCAGGACGTCCAGCGGAGACATTTCCGGGGGCGTGGGTAGCCCATACGGGTACGTGTCCACACTGCCCGGGGTGCCACTGCCACCAGAGGGCCCCTCGTGGTAGCAGCCCCGGAGGCTGGGCAAGGCAGTGCCCGGGGAGTACTCACCCCTGTCCTCTTTCTCCCCTGCCACCCGGCCGCTGCTTCTCTTCTCCGGCAGGGCATTCTGGTCTCTGGAGAGGGAGCTCAGGAGGAAGCCGGGGTCCACGCGCTTGCAGAGGCGCTTGGCCTGCTTCTTCCTGCGGGGCCGGTACTTGTAGTTGGGGTAGTCCTGCATGTGCTGCAGGCGCAGCCGCTCCGCCTCATCCACATAAGGCCTCTTCTGGGACAGCGTCAGCGCCTTCCATGACTTTCCTGCTCACACATGTCAGAGAAGGCCACAGTCAGCATCCAGGCTGCCGAGGCAGGGGTGTACCCACCTTGAGCCCCTGCCTCCACTCACCACTCGCACACATGCACACGCGTGCACACACGCTTCTGCCTTCCTCCTTCACTCCACCCGCCCATCTCCCGCTCATGGCTAGAAAGGAACACGGGCACTCTCTTCCTAGCCCAGATCCTGCACTCGCTGTGCGGTGACACCAGCGTCTCCTGCTTGCATCCTGTGGAGCACTTCAGACCAGGGGTACACGGAACACATGACCTCCCCCATGAGAATCACCAGGCAACTGGAACACCACGCACAAAGTCGGCTTTCCAGTGAAGGCTTGCTCGCCTGCCCCGCCCCAAGGACAAGGAAGAAGTCTAACGACCACCACATTAACAGGGGCTTTTTTCCACCCTTTGAGGTTCAATTCTAATCATTTGTGTTTTAATGAAAACGCCTCAGCTTTGTTGACTATTGCTACCTCTAAGAAAACGATGACATGATATTTCCTCAGGAGAAACCAGGCAGGTGCACACACAGACATGCACACACAAACTGCACCTCCGGCCATCCACTTAGACCCTTCGACACACGCTGCTTGCTTAGCCATGGACTCTGCACGGAAGCAAATCCCTTCATTTCCCCAGGTCTCTGTTTTCCTCACTGTAAGATAAAGATACCATGACACTACCCAACTCTAGACTCTCTCACAGAAGCATCCCACCCTTGCAAGTGACTGGTGCGAAATGCTGATTGTGCGTGTTTTCTATGCCTCCTCACCGGTCTGCGGTTGGACAAACCACTTGGGGTCTCTCATCTCGCACATGCCACACTCCCCTGGCTGCCGTGTTTTCTGAGGATTGCTTCTGGACCCCTTGGGTTGTTACCTGGTTACCTCCTAAGGGGGCTCAGGATTCTATAACCTTAACATGTTCCTCCATGACTCTGCTAGATCCTGAAGTTGGAGGCATAGGACTCAGAGCTCAAGGCCTCTGGTAAAGTCCTGCAAGGGAAGTGACCACAGCCTCACTGCACAAGCCACATAAGACCAGGTGCTGAGCCATGCACGCGGAGGTCCTCAGTGCCCACCCTGGCTGGCCCTGCAAGCCAGGACCTCGAAAGGGGCTGAGGACTTGAAGAGGGCAATCATTACAGGCATTCTACCACTGGAGTGAAAGTGTACAAGCACTTTGTGGTGTGGTCAATTCATGAAATGGGCTGTCATTTAACAAGGGTGACTTGAAAAGTGTTAGGAACTCTGGAATTTGGGCCGGTCACTGATTCCCAGCCTGTGGCTGAGGTCGCAAAGCTGTCACAAGACGGCCAAGATCCAGAGGTACCCCACACACCCTGTCTATGGTCTGGATACATCGGATTGCTGGAAAAGTCCTGGTGTATTTTTTCCATGTCTTTCTATGCAAAAATGTGTCACGACTTTTCTGACAGCCCAATAAAATGTGACTAGTTTCTAAACGCACTTGGCTATCATAGCACAAAAGAATGAATGAATAATGAATAAATGAATAAAATACAGGTTCATTTTTAAACCCTAGCAAAGTCTACTGGTCTTTCTGTACTTTCTCATGCATGATACACTAAAAATACCAGTGCAGCCAGGTAAAGATGGTAACGCTACAGTTTGGAAGGCTTCGCGTGGAGAAAATTGGGGCTCTCTCCGCGAGCCCTTTCCTGTCATAGATGAGAGTAAAAATATCAGAGGAGTAGAAGAACACCACCTTACTCCCCCTGTTAGCAGGCACCCGAAGTTCCTATTATAAAAAGCAACACAGCGTTGGTTTCCCTCACCAGGGACCGGGCCCTGAATGGCGAGGCAGGAAGGAGCCAGTGTCTTTCCTGCGACATGAACTGTAACCCTGGGAAGCCTAGGTGCCAGTCCCGAGAGCTCACAGGGAGCATTTGCCCTGTGCCTGTCCTTGCGGTCTCAGTTCCACAGAGTTAGGCTCCACGACCCTTTTCTGGGTCGCTTTTCCCATTTCTGGCTTGCAACAAAAACCCTGCCTCTCCTGTCAGGGAGGGGGGGCCTCCTTTCCCCAGCTGTGCCTAGTCCACAGGCACAGTGCCCAGGGCCCATGGGAAAAAAAGGTTTTAGGAATACACACACACACACACACACACACACACACACACAGTTTTCGTTTCTTTTAAAATCTGAAGAAACCTATGAACTCAGGTCTAAGAAACTGTATTATTGTATGTATCAACATGCATGTCATTATGTCCACACAGCATAAAATAGAAAGTGTACTATTTTCGACACTGTATGTCTCCACTTAATATATACCAGCTGTCCACGCTCTATGGCTGAAACTGAATGGCTAGAGGCTATAGAAACATAGAAAGTGGTTATAGATACCAGTTACAGTATGGGCAGAGGGTGAGAGACGGAGGAGAGTCTGAGGAAAGACGTTAAGGGGAAAAACAGAGAGGCAAGCATGTATGGGACCCAGAAATGGGCTATTATCTGTTGATGAAGATGTGAATCGTTTCCCCAGCAGGACTGCTGAGAAATGTCGGCACATTCACTTTACAAGCTAAGTGACATATGTGATTGAAGGTATAAAATAAATTAAATTTAAATTAAAAAAGCAGGTGGGGGCCCACTGGTCAGAAGACCCTGGGAAACCAGCACCCTCTCTACTCCTTCCCGCTTTTAGCCAGCAAAAAGAGGGGCGTTATCCCTCACTCCAGAGAACTAGCCCTCAGCTCTGACGGAAAAAGGAAAGGCTCCTTCCTGGCGGGGTGGGGTTGGGGGAGCCGGCCAGCCTCAAATGTCCCTGCTCACTGGTCCTGAGGCCGGGCGCACAAAGCGCGGTTTTCGCCGGGGAGAATGGATAGAAACCACTTCCGAAGGCAGAGGCTGGAACCGAAAAAGGCCCAGCTCCAGACAGCGGAGATAAAAGGAACCCGACACAACACTGGGTCTTGCAGACATGCCCTAACATCCTCACTCCAGGTTCCTTGGGTTTGGCCAGTTCCTGTCCCCAGTCCCTGTCACACTGCAGGAAGCCGCCAGGCTCCAGGACAGCTCCTCACCGACCTACCTACGGAAGCATCGGGATCAAATAACCTACGGGGACTTCAGAAAGTGCGTGGAAAGTGGAACGAAACTACGAGTTTATTCTGTTGCAAAATGTTTTGAAATGCATGCGTAGCCTTTTCATAATACTCACATTCCATGTACTTTTGAACCCCCCCCCATATACTCCTGAGATTGAAAAATGGATGAACAAATCACGTCTATTTTGTAGAGTTGGCTTATGCTGTTAGTTTAAAAATTACGTTAAAGCAGAGATTCGTTGCCTCGAGATGTCTCTTCCCGAGTATTCGTTAAGTACGGTTTCATCTGTGACGCCCTCCCTCAGTGACTGTCCCCGTTGTAAAGCGCTGGGAATGATGTGTTTTCCCCATTCACGATTCACAGGGAACGCTCGACGTTTCCATCCTGGCCCTGACCCTGTGCGCGAGACCCTGTGGCCAAGCACCCGGTCCTGACCGCTGCGGGCCCCGCGCATTCCCTGGGGCTTCAGACTCGCCTCCAGTCCCTACCAAAGGCCCTTCGCCTAGCCCTGGCCAGGGGCCGGTTTCACTCTGGGCCTCACCCAGGTGTCCCTGCTCTGGGTCAAGGCCACCGCGCGCACACCCACGCTCGCACAGATGCCCAACCGCCCGGGCATTGCCGGCGCCCGCGCAGGGATGCGCCCCGATGTGCAGCACCGTACCCACACTCCGCGCGCTCGCACCCCTCGGCCGGCCCCGGCCGCCTGACCCAGCCCGCCGGCCGCCCACTCACCCAGCATCTTGCTGAGCTCGGCGTTGTGCAGGTCCGGGTTCTGCACCGCCAGCCTTTTCCTCTCGTCCTTGGCCCACACCATGAAGGCGTTCATGGGCCGCCGGATACGGCTCTCCGAGCCCTTGTCCCCTGGGGGGCGGGGAGCGGCCGGC